CCCCTTTTGGGCTTCCGTGGATGACGACCAAGCTCAACGAAATCACAATATAGTTTTTTTTTTCAAAGTTATATATGCCTTTTGCGCAGCCAAACTAGCACATGTCGATTTGACGTCAGGTCCCGACTTTTCCAAGGTTGCCTTTATGTGCCTAGCTCTTCCTGGCAAGCAGCATTTTGGGAAGCCAGCCAGTGCCGCTGCCATGGAAGGCACCACGGGCAGTATGATTCTGTTCGGAGAGTCAGGCGATTTGTGTTGTGTGCGCAAGACGCCAATAGCTGAGTAGCCCATTGTGTGGGTGCTTTCGCGGGTGTTTCCCATAGATTTGCTTGAGGCTATGACAGCGTCGTGGGGAGAGAAGGGCAGCGCGGCGTCGATGAGTGGGTCTTCTTTCGGAAAGATCAGTTGCTGCCGTGCTTCCTCGTCGATGAGCCTCCCGGCGAAATCGCCTCGACCGTTTCGAGTCTTCTGTGAGATCTCCCGTCGAATGTTGACAGTCCCCAAAGCCACGAAAACGGTCGGATGGGCCCGATGGATCAGGGAGCAAAGTGGAGAGAAGAAGCCTCCAGTTGTACCTTTGCTCGGCCTCAGAGTCTCGCTCTTGTCCACCTTTGAGGCTGGGTTTGATCATCGCCAAAGAAGCCGCCCAGCAAGCCATCAAGGTGTGGATTGGGGCATTTGCGGGTCCCAAGCGCGAGCACACCAGCAAATCGGCAAACCATTTTTTTTTGGTTTGATAAATTTTGAGTTGGGAATGCATGCCGAGCACTTGGTGCAGGTCTTACATCAGCCCTGGCCAGATGAACATTTTCCAGACGCCCGAACAGAGGAGCAGCTGCAGTCCATGTTGTGGGCTTTTGCCACTTTGTTTGCGAGGTGTCAAAGGTAGGTCTTGACGCCCTGGGACAGAAACACATTCGCAAGGGAGTTTCTTTAGTACACATTCGATGAGTTTTATGGGGTGTAGAAGGGCCAAAGATGGTACAGACTGTGCCAGTGGGATCCAGACGACTTCGCTATCTCCAGGCGCCCGATGTGGTTGGGCGCTGGAAGCGTCGCTTTACTTCGCCACCGGAGGCCCTTCAATGCAGACGTTTTCCAGCATTTTTCTTCAAGATCAGAAGTTTCTGAAGAAGGAAGCAAGAAAGGGAAAAAAGACACACGAAAGACCTACAGTATCAATACATTTCCACTAGACAAAGACCCAAACGTCGAATGTGGCAGGCTACTGTGGACACCCCAAGCCGCCAAAGCCGGCGTTGGACCAAGCAAGAGCCGAGCAAAACGCTCTGCGTGGTTTCATGGCCAGGATTGATATTTTCTGACACTTGCAGGACCCCAGCATGTCCCTAACAAATGCCAATCTAGGATCCAACTATCAGATGAGGCAGACGACCGTATGACGACTCACCTTTTACATTTCTTGGCCGTTTGAATCGTTTGAACTGAAGCTGAGCAGGCTTTGAGCGACACACAATTCGGCCAAGCAGAGCCAGTAATTCTAGCTGAAAGAGCCCCAGATGTTGTTTTGTTGTGCTTTGTTCGACAAAAGCATGTGCCGAAATATGGGTTTGGCTTGAAACGCAAACGTGAAGGTGCATCCTGGACAGCCCCCAAAACCGACAACTTGAGTCTGACTGTTGGGGTGACTTTCCATGAGTTCGGTGTAGCGCGGCACTGGGCGCCATGTGTGAATTGAAGCTTGGCATAGAAATCATGTTGCGTTTCGGTGTGAAACAGTTGGAGCAGATTGGGGAAAGGCTTGCAGGAATCACTTCGATTTGTGATCTACTTAACCTACTTCGACCCTCATGACCCTCATGCATTTATTTTTTTGGATGCATGCTTTGGAGCAGAGAGGGTCTACGGGCAGAAGTTTCTAAGGGGGCATGCGGTGGAGCCTAGGCGCCTCTTTGGTGCGCTAGGAAATTTGGCTAAGAACTCCAGTGGATGGCGTCGAACTGCTTTTGTGACGTCATCTCTAGCTCCTTCTCTTTCTTTCTCACAAAGAGTAGCCATACAGCTATAGTACATTGTGCAAAGGTGCTGTAGTTCATCTCAGGAATTCTCCAGGGGTTGTGAACACACAATGCGAGCCATCCGCACCGTGACCACGGCGAGAGCAAGACTGACCTCTTGACAGGTGGCCTGGTGGTTCTTCTTGGAGGTCGAGAGGCTGAAGTCGTCGTCCAACCGAGACAGGCTAATCCAAGAGACTAAGATACTAGATACACATTTGGAGGCATGGCAAATCCTTGATTTATGTTTGCATTGTATATCTTTGTGTCACGTCGCAATCCGAGCTTTATTGCGGGAGAACTGCATTGCACCATTTTGTGTCCACAAACTTCCTGAATTGTGCCGTCTACCACGATATCCTTCTGCATGGAAAGTAACTCAGGTTAACTTTCAAACGGTCTGTGCAAGCAGTTGAACACAAGGCTTTAAGGCTCAGGATCATCACTTCGCCACGTACGGCAGGCCCTGGCTAAGGTCACGGTAAAGCCGGGAAGGCAACGATCGACCAGTGCTGGAAGGAAACATTCAGTTTCAGTTGTCCTCCTTGTGGGAGATGTCTGGGAGCATGCTTGACTATCTGCCTCATGAGCGTTTGTCGTGAGTCCGTGTTTGAGATCCATCAGTGATCTATATAGTCTTGGCGCACTTGGCGGTGCCTTGCCTCATGATTGACACTTCCATCTGCCAGGTACTTCCTGGTGAACCGAGATTTTGGGACTTTCCTCCGAGATGAAGGCCGGAAGGGCCATTTCTGGCCCATCAGAACTGCAGCTCGAGGCAGCGGCTTGTCCACGCCAGGTTTAGGACTTCGTGACGATGATGCCTTGTGGAGTATAGAGCCCCAGGCGCACGAAAAAGCGGCAAAAAAGTAGTGTGGAGGCCATCGCTAGCAGTTTGTAGGCCATCGCTTAGTAGGTTGGAGGCCATTGCTGGGAATGTCGCAGCTGCCATGAGGACGGTGGCTTTCGTGTCAAGAATCTGAAGACACAGAGACCACTAGGCCGCTCTACTGCTTCGTTTTAAGCACGGCAAGTTGTGTTTGGCATAGGGCAAACTCTCTTGAAACAAAAGTTTGATCACAGCGATTCTTTTCTTCCAATTGGTTTTGAAGACGGTTGGATGATTTGGTTGGGGAGCATGGGCCCAGCATCGGTGGTTGGATGTTAGGCCACGGCTTCATAGAGACATGGCAGATCCATCAAGTTTGTTGGCGCCTTAGTTTCGTCTTTGCTGTGCTGGGTGCTCCCTTTGCGATGTATTTGCGCCAATAGCTGTGTTGCACCTAGGTCGCGGAAGCAGCATAGCTTTGGTGGCCAGCAATGGTGAGGCACCACGGTTCTCATTGAAACATATTGAAACAGTTTTGAAGTTTTCTCTTGGAAAAACGTTTGACTATGGTGTATTGTATTGATGCGTGCATGATCACACTGGCGGCAGGTGCTAGCAGTGCAAAATGCCTCTGTGTTGGCCTTAGGGTTGGAGGGCCTGAGGCAAGATAGCAGCGCAGGCATTGCACAACCAACTGCCAACCCTTTCCTCCAACCAAGCTTTATGGCTTCATGCAGCCGTTTGCAGGTCAGGCTTTTCCCAAGCCGTTTGATGCCTTCCATGTGAGCATCTGGACTCATTTTCATCCGTTGGAGACCCGCGATGGGCGCTGCGGCCTCCGTGGCGGAGCCCGACGACTTGCCGCTGGCCGCGCGGCGCGCGGTGCTCGGCGGGACGCCCTCGGCGGAGGCCGTGGCCCGGCTGCTGCGCGAGGGCGTCGTGTGCGGCGGCGAGCGGCGCCCGGCGCGGGTGGTGGTGGCCGCGGGCGCCGGGCTCTCGGTGGTGGCGGGAATTCCGGACTTCCGGACACCGGGCACCGGGTTGTACGACAACTTGGAGAAGTATGGCTTGCCGACCCCGGAGTCCGTGTTTACTTTGAACTACTTCAAAGAGCGTCCACAGCCCTTTTGTGAGCTTGCGAAGGAGTTAATTCCGGGATCCTATCAGCCCACCATCGGGCATTGCTTCCTCCGTCTCTTGGAGGAAAAGGGTCTCTTGCTACGTCTCTTCACACAAAACATCGATGGTTTGGAGCGCCTCGCTGGCATCTCTCCGGAGCTTTTGGTCGAGGCCCATGGCTCCTTTGCCGACGCCCACTGCGTGGAGTGCCGCCAGCAGCACAGCATCCGCGCCTGGCGCCAGAGCATCGAAGATGCCGCGGAGCATCCGCTGCGCTGCGGCGCGCCGAGGGCTGTGGAGCCACCGAAGGTGCCTCCCACAGCAGAGGCCCTCGAAGAGCTGCGAAAAGAGCTAGAGCTTTTTCCGGCCAAGAGGGAAGAGGCTTGGAAGGCCTCGAACTTTGGGGAACTGACAAATGTTGGAATCAGAGAAGCTCGCGTGAAATCTGACTTGGAGACAGGAGAGAAGGAAGTGGCTGAGTTCCCTCAGAAATGGGCAGATTGGGAGGCTGGCCCGAAGACCTTTGAATGCGACGGTCTGGTGAAGCCTGACATCGTTTTCTTTGGGGAGAGCCTACCAGCACGCTTCACTTACCTGAGTGATCGGGATGGGCAACAAGCAGATCTTTTGCTGGTCCTTGGCACTTCGTTAAAGGTAATGCCTTTTGCAGGGATTTTGGGCAAGGTCGATGCACTTTGTCCACGGTTGCTGATCAACCGTGAGCCTGTTGGTTTGCTTGTTCAAGACGAGCCGCCGATGTTTTTCGGCAACGTTGGATTTCGCTTCAATGAGTCGAACAACTACAGGGATGTGCACCTGGCGAGTCTTTGGCGTGTGGTTTAGCGGTTTGGCCTGAGTTCCCTTTTTATAGCGATGGCCACCAACCCAATAGAGATGGCCTCCAACCTAGAAGCGATGGCCTTGAACCTAATATATAGCCTCCTCCATAGAGAAAAGATTAGAAAAGGCGCCCCTTTTGGGTGTTTGAGTAGGTAGTCTACTTGTTCCATTCTTCGGTCAGCGGCCTGTCGCCAAAAGAAGGTCGGCACTTCGCAAGCTTTGAACGCACGTGCAGCTCACACCCCAACGTTTCGTCCCTTGGGGTGACAAGATGGCTCCCCATGTTGTGCATGTTGCTCGCGGACGATAACACCGATACACTGCCCACTGCTCAGGAACGACTGTGACGCAGGGTGCCTGGAGCTGGCGCGGCTCTGCGGCTGGTCGGCCGAGCTCCAGGCCTTGGCGGAGAAGCTCCGGCGGCCGCAGCCCGAAGCCTTCGACGTCATCGTGGAGAGCCAAGAGCTGTCGCCGGCCTTCCGAAGCAGCGAAGCCTCGAAGGTAAGGAGGGTCACGCTGTGTGACGACCTGGTGATGGTGACCACATGGTGGTACAGGGAGGGGGTCTCACATAGGTACATGTTTCGAAGCGGGCCTACAACGTTCGCGCGGTGCACCAACGTTAGCTTCGTGAAGCCGTTCGTGTGAAATCATGCGGGAAAAAAGTGTGTGTTGGCATGTAGACCCGTGGACTGTTCTAAGTAGATGGTGGACGTCCAGCAATCGCTGCGAGCTGCCGCTGTCGTAGGTAGCCTTGGACCTCTTGGAGGCCATCAAGGCGGTGCCGTGGCCTCCCTCAACCACGATGGCCGAGCGCTTCGCGCGCGCCAAGCAGACGCTGGAGGTCTTTGGGGAGATTCTGCTGGTGGAGAACGTGGAGACCGAGTCGCCCGAGGTTGAGGAGCAGTTCATGTCCTCAGCCGCTGTGGCCTACGATGCGCTGGGCGAAGCCGCCTTCCTGGCCTTGGCCACGCGGCAGCGCTTTTGCCTGCGAAGTGGCTTGGATGTGCCCAAGAGGCTCTCGCAGCTGCTGCCAGAGCAGCTGCGGAAACCAGGTGCACTGGCCGAAGTCCAGCAATCACTCGCTCCTTTGAAGGCTTCCAGTGCACAAGAATCCTGGTGAAAGCGTGAGATTTCTCTTTTATTTCATTTTATTTCTATTTCTGGATGTTGTTGTTTGGGCCTCAAAAAAGAACAAACAACTACAAACAGTTGAACATGGAGGGCGTTTTCAAGTTCTTTGGCCCATGCCTATAGGAGCTCCTTGATTTGGCCTTCGCCGATCGTCCACGACCCCGTCGCCCCAAGCTGGATGGCCCGGTGCCGCCCGCCTTGCCGGCCTCGCCGGCGTCGCCACCGGGGCGCAGAAGGAGCTCCAAGCCCAAGCGGCCGTCCAAGGGGCCGTCCTAAGATGGGACGGCCTGGGCGCCCTGGGCGCGGAGAGTTGTAAAAGGGGGCGGCCAGTGGCGGCCAGCTGACCGGTGTTTGCAGCGTAAAGTTTCAGAGAGACCACACACATTGGATGCGTTGTTCGAGGGTGCCCACCTTGTTGCGGCGGAGAAGGCGCGCCGAGTTGTTTTGTGTTCGTGGAATGTTTGAGAGAGCCACATTCGTGCATGGACAGCAAGTGACGGGGGCTTTTTGGAAAGATGTATAAGACCGTTGATGGGGGCTTTTTAAGACCGTCGTGTTTTCAGCTTTCCAAAGCTGTTGCGCCCCACACTTTGCCTCGCTGCGATTTGCGACGCAGGCCCTTTTCATGGCTTCCTGTCTCGTCTCACAGAAGTCTTGCAATCACTGGATGTCACCGTGGCCTTTGGCTCCCAGAAGTTGGGTCGCCCCGTGATTGCCCGCGAGGGGCTTTCCGCCAGGCTGGGATTTGGTCGCTTGGGCCGTTAGGGTGCAGCAATTGAACATGAGAGTTTGGCACTCCTTTCGGCTCTTCCGTTTGCTTTTCTCTTTGGCCCTTCTCCTTTGTAATGACGGCGAAAAACTCGGCCTCGAAAAGCTTCAGCCCAGGCGCAGTGGTGAAAGATCTCGAGCAGCTTGAACACTGAAAGGTCGCAGTCCCTAAGCTGCGAGAGAGACAGACTGCCCGCAGTAGAAACAAGTGCATCGCTAGTAGTAACAAGTGCCTTACGAGTAGTAACAAGAAGCGACTCGTAAGACTTCGACTTGGAAATGATGTCCGGCAGACTGGAGAGCTCCAGCTTTTGGCAGAGACGGCCTTCGCATGACCACAGATTCCACTGTTTGGTCGTGTCTTACTATCTTACTATCTCTTTCCGTTCCTCTTTCCTTGGTGCCGATCTTGGTCGAGATTTGGCCGTGGAGCTGTGAAGCTGAGGCCATGAATATCTTTCGATTTTCTGGTGATATGCTTCACCTCACCAGCATCATGCCTCTTGGCAGAGCATGGGCTAAGCCGGTTAAGCCATGTAAACGGTACTTGATGGTACTTGTAGATAGATAGATACCGATTGGAATGGCAACAGTCGTGGACAGTGGCTTTTGGAGGCTGCTGGTCTTCAAGCTCCATCGCAGCAAGAGCTGTGTCGGCGTCTCTTGCAGGATGCAGGACTGGGGAGATCTATGCCGCTGGTGTTTCTCTCGTGTCTTTGTCTCGTGTGGCCAGGAGATCTATGCCGTGGTCTTCATTTGTCGCTACCTTGACCTGCTGTGGAGCTTCATTTCTGCCGCTTGGCAATGGTTGGGGTTTGGAAGCTTCGTTTCCCAGCAACGAAGAACGCATAGCAACGAGACCCCGAGTAGCGACGAGTGGACTTTTCGAGACCGCTGAGGTCTACAACACGGTCATGAAGATCACCTATATCACGACAACGTGCCACTCAGCTGGATCCGGTCCATGGGGGGGTTGCATGGGTGCCTTTCGACATGCCGAGGCTATTTGATTTACTTGATGCGTTTGAAGACGCCAATCTGCCAGACCTACGAGAGAAGCACAGCCGCTTGGAACTTGAACGTCTCAATGCTTGGAAATTTGGCTGGGGTTAATCATCAGGTTCCTTGTAGCACTTGGGCACAATTCGAAGGAGTTGATGCTAGGCTTTCATCATTTTTCCATAGGGCACCCTGAACTGCCTCGAATGAGGATTCCTTCCAGTATGAGCTCTATTTGCTTGGCCCAGCATTAGTTCTCGGGCTCATTTGCACAGAGGCGGGATTTAAAGTGAGGTGATTCGATGATTTCTTCTTTGCTGACTCGGAAGGAATACACCATCCCGGACATCCTGTGGTCCTCCTCAATTTGGCTCGAAAGCTGCTTGACTGCACTGGTCATTTGCTTTCTGGCGCACGCGTGCCAAATCTAGGACAAACGGCATGGCAACAGGAGGGTTTATGAACTCGTGCAGCCCCCCAGCATTGTGTTTTTGGATTCCCGTTCATTTCATGCATTTCATTCCGCGGCGCCGCGCTTGTTCACAGGTGTGGCCATCATTCCGCAGCTCGTCTTGCTCCAACAGATCCGAGAAGTGGAGAAGCTTGGTGCAGCGTCCATGCAGTAACAAGTGCATCGCTAGTAGTAACAGGTGCCTTACTGGTAGTAACAAGAAGCTAGTAATTACAATTCTAATTAAATTCTTCTTGTTACTACTAGTAAGGCACTTGTTCCTACTAGCGTTCTTGTTCCTAGTAGTAAGGCCAGGGAGCCCCTAGTAGCGTCCATGCTCCGTTCGAGTCGCGATGCCCGAAATGCTCCGAACGGAAGACTTTGCGGTTCTTTGAGTTTTTGATGTCATTCATTCGCAAGACTTTGCGTCGCTTGATTTTGTAGGCTGCAAGTGCTTGGATATGGCGGATGCGTTCCATATTAAAGCACTTCAGTTCATTGGGGCTGTTGAACCATCATACCTTGGCTCAAGAAGCCGCACGCCAGCCCTTGCTCAATCTTTTCCACTGGCAATGGCTCGCGCACATACGTTTGGCGTGATTGGTCCTCACACGGCTGAGGCAGGCAACCTACATGACACGAGCGATGCCCAAGCAGATGCAAAGGAGACACAAGAATCCGGCCCGTCCAATGTGCACCCTTTTCGTCGTGGCGGCGTCATTCCAACTTCCCTTTGCTTGACCCAAGCGGCCTTAGGCGCCGGGCTCCTGTCGGTCTCGTCCAACGCAGCAGAGGTAGGGGCCATCTACCAGCTCTCGTGTCTCCTGCTAGGAGGGCTGCTATCGGTGGCAAGCTTGCGGATGATTGCCGTCGCCTCGGTGGCCACCCAGTGTTGGAGCTTTGAAGAGATCTCGGAAGAGCTCTTTCATCCAGCCATGTCGTTCTTGACCGGGTTCATGAACTCGTCCAATTGCCTTGGTGCAGCGGCTGCCTGTCTCATCACTTGTGGCCAGGTTTTTCAGGCGATTTTCCAAGCGGATGAGAGGACACGGGAGATCTTTGTGGTATCTATAGGGGTTTGCATTTGTGCTCCGCTGGCTTTGGCAGAGCACATCGGTTTTTTAAGGCACCTGGCAGCTTTCAGTTTGGTGTCCTTACTCTTTTTGGTGGCGGTGACAGCCTGGTACCTCATGGCCAACGGCATGAACCAACAAATCGATGTGCAAACCTTCAGCTTTGGTTCCGGAGAGGCCACAGTCTTTACATATATAAACTGCATCAGCAGTATGGTGTATGCCTTCTGCAATCAGTTTAGTGTTCCACAACTGACGGGAGAAATGACTCCGACGCCCTCCACTCAACGGATGACATGGGTCGCCTTGCTTAGCACCTGGCTCAGCTTTTTGATCTATGGCTCCGTCTCAATTCTCGGTCTCTTGGCCTTTGGCATCAATCAGAAGGATACCTTAATCCTCGACCTGATGCCAGTCAGACAAAGGGTCCATGTCGTTTTTGCTCTGGTGGGACTGATGTTTGGCAGCGTGGTCAGCTTTCAGTTTCATATCTTCGCTGTTCGACAGTTCTGCGCCTTTGCGGTGCGCAAGGCGCGAGCGGCGCGAGCCACGCCAGACCTTCTGCCTCGGACGGGCGGCGCTGGAGACGGAGGAGCTGGGCACGTGTGTGGCCGGACACCGGAGCGATGGTATGACATCGTGGCAGCCATGGGCACCGTGGCTTGTGTGATGGTCATCGCAGTGAAGGTCAGCCGTTTGCAGGTGATCTTGAACCTCATTGGAGCCTTTGCAGCTGGCTACATCTCGTTTGTGGTGCCGCCCTTGTGGATCCTTGCTGTGCGACGCCGCGAAAGGAACTTCTCGTGGCTGCGCCCGGAGATCTTCTTCTCGCTGGCAATGTTGGCTTTTGGAATTTTCCTGGTGGTCGTTGGAACCTACTCGGCTATTTTGCCAGATGAAGGGGCCTGAGCCTAATTTGCCAGAAGTTTGTCTGAGGCTTGGCATGCGGATGCATGCGGTTTTTGATGTTCCGGCTTGTTGGGCATGGATTGCCTTGTCCGTCCCTTTCTTTGTACAGGTCAGCTGGCTGTTGCCAGAAGAATCTGACTTGGGAGAAGCCACTTCAGGTTTATGACATGTATGATATGACATGACATGACTATACTATACTGTGTTAGCTAGCTCGCCCACCAAGGGCGACATTGACTTGTGCAGGCGCCTCGTGACAGTCATTCGGGCATTCAATGCAATGCTCCTTCTCCCTCCTTCCAACTCGCATGCAGAAGGATGGCGCGTCACAAACAGGGGGTGTCCATGGGCCAGGCTCCTGACATGTTCCGTTGGCCGTGGAAATGAACGTGCTCGTGTTTCCATTGCATTTGTTGCCCTGCATGGCACTTTTTCAGGAATCTCACCTCTGACTTCGTAGGCTGCATGGGTGCATACCGCCTCCTGGCTTGACATTCAGGGTTTTTTCGGTGTTCTTTTGTTCCGAGACTCTTGGCCCATTGGCAGAGCAGAATGCATGCATTTCCGGAGTTTGAAATTGCTCATGCCACAAGCTACAAGGTGCTTTCTACATATTGAACTGGATTTATCGGTACTTTGCAGAGGACGTGAAGCGAACACTTCCGCAAGAACCAATTTTTTTTGCAGAACAGAAGCACATAACGCATATTATGTATGTAAGATCATGCAGGTCCATTTGTTGGAAAGAGTTTGAGGGACTCATGAACATCACTTCGCGAAGGAATGGAAGCAGGTCTGTTCAGCAGGTCTGTTCAGGATCATTCTGAATAAATTCTAATAGCTTTTTGTTACTACCAGTAAGGCACCTGTTACTACTGGCGTGGCACTTGTTACTAGTAGCGAACATTGTTACTACTAGTAGAATCACAAGACATCGCTGGAGGACTACGTGAATGTTGTTGGCTGGATCGGTGGGCTCTTGCAAACTGGCCTCTACTGCGACTTCTTCTATTACTATGCCAAGAGCACCTGGGCAGTTGTGATAATTTATATACGTTGTTATTTACGTTGGCTAAGCTATTCAATTCTTCATGTGGTTCTTTGCTTTGCGGTTCTACTGACTACTGTGCCGGGCATGTTGTTAGCAATGCGTGGTGGCCATGCGTGACATTGAGACTTCGTCCGCTTCACTTGCACTTGGTATCCAGCAACAAAATACTAGTAGCGATGCCCTTTGTTACTAGTAGCTTCTTGTTCCTAGTAGTAAGGCCAGGAGCTACTGGTAGCGATGCCCTTTGTTACTAGTAGACTTGGGATGTAGGATTCAAACTCATGGGAGCTCTTGCATCAGAAAGAAAACATCGAAGAAGACGTTTCCCTGGGGCCGAGGCAAGTGGTATGGTAGTAAGCTGGTGCTACCTGTCGCATCCTGAGAGCCGCTAGAATTCATGCGGTCCAAAGGCGGCAACTGTTGCGGTTTCCGAACCCTACTAGCGATGGCGATGGTCTCCACCGTACAAGCGATGGCCTCCAACCTAGAAGTGATGGTCTCCACCCTACATTCCCACTTGCCAAAAGCCGCTGTGCCGCCTTTGAACCCCCCCCTCAGAGAGGGATCCGAGGAAAGGATCCAGCGCCTGCTTAGAGGAAGTCGGGTTCATCCTGGGGAGCCATGAAGCGACACATGTGCACATGTACCACGTCCGTGCCAAACGACATGAAGGCATCGCACCAAGTCCAGTCCAGTTGAACGGCGACCGGCGAACGCCTCCGCGGGCTCCGCGGACCGAGCTGCGCGGAAGGTCGGCAGAAGCGTGCCGACCACTGATGCGCAATGGCAGAGTGGCTCACGGAGTGGGAGATTTGAAGGTGAAAGGGTGGCAGAGTGGCTCAGAATGCTAGGTTGGAGGCCGAGGCCACCGCTCTTAGGTTTGGAGGATGTTTGGAGGTATGTAGATGTTCAATCAAGACGAAGTGTTCTATTAGAAGAAATTCAAGGACTTATACATCCCCTGAAATAATCATTGCACTTCCATGTTAGTGACTCCGAGTGTAGTGGTTGCGCTTTTGCTGGTTTTATGGAATGACATGTCTGGCATTCATAGCAGGATGTGTCATTGGGATTTCCAGCCCATGTAGAAGATGCCAGGACTGCGCAGTACCTAAAGGTAGGTCCGTAAGATCAGAATCAAATCCCAAACGCCACTGGCCAAAATTTTTGCTTGGCCATGAAGTAGCAGTTTCTGACGAACAGTCGCTCTACGTGCGGTGGGAAAAAGGAAGACAAGAATTGAATCTGAATCCATGTTTGTTCCTTCGTCTTCGGTCTCACCGACTTTCATGTCCCACATGCGTCCACACAGTCATACGCCATGTCACACAGTCTGTCAGGCAGGCCGTGGTGCACAGTGGCTGCTTGTGCCACCGTGCAGGGAGGCCTCAGCAACTTCCGCCAGCCGCCAGACCACAGTGCAAGTGAAAACTCAGGTGTTTGTCAAATGGCAATCCGCAGGCCCGCAGGCATTGTTCCAATTGTCTAGGATTCTTGTTCGTAGGAAGGCTAGGCCAACTTTGTGGACGAAGCGGGTGAAGAGGGCAGGTAAAAGCTGGTTGGGGCTTCCAGCTCGCTCCGCAAGGGCCATTTGTTTGTCGAAAGTCCTGAAAGCCTCCATCTAAAGCATCGGATTAGATCCATGCAACATGGTGAGCCCTGCGCACGTAGCTCAGCATATCACGAGTCACACGAGTCATACTAGTAACGATGGCCTCCCCATCCCGATAGCAATGGCCTCCACCCTAATAGCGATAGCCACCAACCTACTATGAAGAAAGAGCATCACCGCAGAAGCCTGCTGAGCATGCTTGGCATGGATGGAATAAGCTGGCCACAAGGCCCCGCACCGGTTTCCCAATCAGAGTTCGTTTGGATGAAGCGAAGTCCAGGCAACACCTCAATACAATCCAAGCAAGGATCCTCATTTCAGTGTATGTCATTAATTCAGTGAACTTCATTGTCATTTCTTGCCTTTCAGTGTTAGGACATGTGCTGCGACGGTGGCTGTTGCAGCTGTTTGGTCCCCTCAAGAGAGTTCCGCGGGGAAGACGACCCCGAAAAAGGCATGAGTCGAAAGATTCGCTCAGGGCTGCTGTTGTTAGCTTTGGTCACCAGCGGAAGCCGTGCTTGGCTTGGGCTCGGTCGGCTAGGTCGTAGATGGGTGGTCGCATCGATGTTGGTGCCAGGGGCATCCATCGCCGAAAGTTTGGAAGGTTCCAGCAAAGTTCCTGGAGCACCACGAGTGATGCAATCTCAGATAAGATATCCCGAGTTTGTTCGCATGGATGGACCCAGCGGAGATTTCAGCATCAACATTCCAACTGCTTGGAGAGCTCAATTTGACGATGCCCCTGGGCGATTGATATGGGCTGTTGAGAACAATGCGGGTTTCAACAGTGCAACGCTTCAAGTTGCGCGCATTTCCCTATCCAACCTTCTAGCCAACGCAGGCCTCAAGTCATTGGGCGATGATCAACTGAGCGATTGGCGTAAGGTCGTTTCCACTGAAGCAGATCTAGCACAGGCCCTCATGGTGCTCGCTCAGCAAGGGCTCAGTACCGAAAGGGTCTCAAGCTATGCGAACACAACAGTCATCCAAACTGAGATCGAGGAGCCCGAAGTGGCTGCGGAGGCGTCGTCGTTTCTTTGGCGAGCGAGAGCAGCTGTGGAGGATTTCCGCGGAAGCCGTATTGTCAGCGGCAGGGCGTTGCTGAGACGTGGCATTGTGGTATTTGCTGTGGCAACTGGCTCAGAGCGCTTTGGGGCAGTTTCTGGCAGCATCAGCTCCAGTGGGTTTGGGTGGGAGTACAATAATCGACTGGTAGGAAGCTTGCGACTCAAGCGTTCAGCTCGCTGAAAATGAGGGTACGGTTGGACTTGACCATACTTGTGCGATGTGCCAGGTTGTAGCTAGATAGATTCGAGGCTTTGGTGTGCCATGGGCCCAAAAGGCTTCTAGGCTTGCACTTAGGCCATCGGTTCCACTCCCGAAGACAAAGACTAGGCCACCCTGCTTTATATTATATACAGTTGTTTGCACCGGGTCCACATTCGATTCGCTGTGTGCAGGTCGCGGCGATCCTCACCTTGCATGAGCGACTGGAAATACTGTGATCGCCTCAGTCCAAGCCGAGACGCCGACACTGGTCATTCAACTGTGCCGTCAAAGACTCTTCCTGTTGGAAAGCGGCCCAACAAGTGGATTCCATTTTGCCAGGCCACTTTCCTGCGGCGGAGCTGCCACACATGCTGCCGTGACTGGCCTGCATTTGACCGTCACGCAGCGGTGGAGGAATTGCGCTCCGCAACAAGGGGGAAACGTGTAGACCTCCAACGTGGCTCACGGTCAAAAGATGGTTGAATTACTAGGATCAAGAAGCTACTAGTAACAAGGGCCTTACTACTAGTAGCAAGAACGCTACTAGTAGCTCCTGGCCTTACTACTAGGAACAAGAAGCCAAGCTACTAGTAGGTCGATGCCGAGTGTTTGACGCTTCTCTCTGAAGACTCTCTGTCTGACAGGTCGGTGGGCCATCCGCCTCGCATCCTCCCTGAGAAGGCGAGCTGCGTGCGAGTGTGGAGATTCATTTTTTCCAGATCCAGTAAGAAAGATCAGCTTGTGGTTGACGAGTCGTGATGAATAGTGATGAGCCACTGCAGGAGCCAAGCGATTTGGCCCACGGCCGCACAATCCGCGCGCCACCGAGAAATGATGCAACAGAGGAGGAGCTTGTAGATGAGGAGTGGCACGCGTTGGTCGAACCTCGGCTCAATGTGCTCAACACTTGGGCCAAGTTATTTGGTGCGGAGATCGAGAGGTGCGGAGATCGTCCGTGCTTCGCTGAGGACGAGCAGATGTCCAAGTCTCCTCGAAGCGCTCACTGGCAGCTGCGTGAGGACCGGCGCTTCGCACGACTGCAGAGGGCCTGGGAGCAGGATCGGCTCAGAGACATGGAGGCCAAGTTGGAGAGGCTGGGGGGCGGGCGACAGGTCAGGCAGTAGCGTCACTAGCTGGTGGCAGACGATGTCAGGGGCACATATGTTGCTCTCGCTTGGTCTAGTTTTGTCTCAACCACCATCCAAGCCCGGCCAAGCACCTTGTCTCTCGGTGCCCAGGTATCAGCAGAATGCGCCGGAGTACGAACGCTCCGAAGTGCCGCTCCGGCCGGGCGGCGTGGAGCCACCCTTCTCGCAGCGACGGCAGCAAGAGATCCTGGAGGAGACCAGACCCGACGTCGGGAGAGAGAGAGAGAGAGGGGGTGAGCCAGCCGTAGCCAGCACTTTCAGCTTACAGCTGCGTAGTTCAGCATGTAATTTTCTTTGCCTGCACCCTAGCCTTCCAAGACCATTTTTAAAAGGTGAACCTAGTTTTGTAGTGTAAAGTCCTTAGTAGAACCGTATGTGTGGTGCAGTCATGCAGGAGTTCCAGAGGCAGAAGGACCTGCAGGTAGAGAAGGCCGGGAATTGTGTCGCTTCGTTGGTGGGTCATCACTTGTACACAAGGCAATTTTGGTGTGACATTCAGGCGATGGTGCCAGTTGTAACATATTGTAACACGCCTGCTGCTTCTGCAACATCAAGCAGCAGCAGGCATCACAAGTCACAGCCTCCGGCGGTCTTCACGACAGGAAGAGCAGGAGGAGCGCGAGCGTTTGCAACAAGAACGACAAAGGCAGAAGGAGGAGCGGCGACAACAACGACGCGACAGTCGAACGCGGAACGCCACACGGCAGGCTCGGCAGGCGGGCCCAAGCGGAACCTGTGGGGGGAAGCCGTGGGGCGGGTGGGAAGCGACGCCCCGACGTCCGAGGCGGGCACCGCTACGACCACTTCTACACCGGTACCATTTGTTCTGGCAAGGCTGGCGATGAAGATCTCCAGGCAGGGCCAGCATGCAGCGTCCTTTTCTCGAACTTCGAACGTTCAGCATCAGCGTCCGATCGCTCCGTTCGAGTCGCGATGCCCGGAGCGCCCCGTGCGTAGCGTCCGATCGCTCCCATCGCCCGAGGCTCTTCCGCCGCGCGGAGGTGGCCGCGGCACAGGACGAGGCCGCCGGTCACGCGGCGGAGGCGTGGAACTTGGAGGAGGTGCACATTCAGCGGCCGCGGCCGGCGGTCTCCACAGCGGGGTCACTGGGAAGCAGAGGTGGTGGCTGTGGAGCTGAGTGGTGGGTGGTGAAGAGATGTGAAGAGATGTGAAGAGGTGGTGAGGATGGGAGGGATGGGAGGGATGCTGAGGCAAGTGAAGATGCTGGTGGAGCAGGTGGAGGAGAGGGTTGCAGGGCTTGAAAGTTGGAAGACATTGATGCGGCCTTTTCTGTGTTAATTTTTGGGGCAGCACTTGTGTAGGTCGTGTTTTTTGGAACAACGGTGGGAAAATGACGACAAGCAGATCGAGACATGTGGACAAAGGAATGAAGGTCGAGCAAAAAGAATGGCAACTTTGCTCACTAACTCTACCCGAACCAAAGTTTCTTTCTTGTGTTCTCTTCTCCATTTTTTAGGGATTATATCCCCCCTACTAGGTTGGAGGCCATTACTACTAGCAAGGACGCTAGGTTGGAGGCCGCTCCGACTCCAGGAGGTCCTGGCCTCCAGCGCCGACGGTCCCGACCTCGCGCGGCGGCGGATCTTCCGGGAGCTGCAGCGCACGTTGCACCCGGACAAGCGCCAGGGCTGCACAAACAACCGTTGCACCATGTTGCACCGTTGAATTGGAACTGCTCTGCTTCGGCCTTCTTAGTTTGGAGGCATCGGTGGGGTTATTGCTAGCAGGTGGGAGGCCCCAATTGCTAGTAGGGTGGAGGCCGGATATGGTTGGATGGTGCAGCGGTGCAGGGGCTGGGAGAAGCAGGGGTCCTCGCGGGTTCCTTGTGGGTCACTCCAGCAAGTGACAGCTGCGAAATCGAAGGAATGATGGGATCGAAGCCTACAAGCTGGCATTCCAACATTTGATGAACCGGCGGCGCGGTTACTTGCAAGAGTAGGGCAACATGAGGAAGAGAAGAGAAAGAATACATGGGGTGAATGCCCAAGGCATCACCTAAGTTTATTCATTCGAATGTTTGTTTCTTGCCGTTGTCCCTTTTCAAGATTTTCAAGATTCGAGGGCCCATCAGTTTTTGAGTCCCATCGCTGTGATGGCCTTTGTGGAAACGCCCTTCTTGAAGAAGTGCATGCTGCAAGGGGCGGGGGTGACTTGGTATGGAGTTGTACTAGCGATGGCTTCCAACCTACTAGCAGTGGCCTCCAACCTAGAAGCAATGCCCTCCAACCTAAGAGCAATGGCCTCCAAACCACTAGCAATGAACTCCAACCTGGCTTCAGCACGACTCTGCATCCCAAGTCCTCCCAACAGTGTTAGCTCTTGCATCTCACTGAGTGAGACGAGCTGTGTACGCTGTGTGCGTCCGCATCCGTGAGCAACGCGATTTCGAGCGGCCAATCCAGGGCACAGCGGGCTTGGTCTGATGTTGGCACAAGTTGGCACAAGTCAGCCAGTTATGAGCAATTGATAACAATTGTACAACATATCCAGCTACTGTGGCACACATTTTAGGTGGACATGTGGAACCTGTCCCAAAACCGATGACGGAGTGCTGTGATCCGATCGCCGAACTGGTCCGACCCTTTTGGAACCGAGGTCTGGGCGAGGACAGGCTGTGTTGGAACCGCGAGACTCGATGGTGCTGGCTCTTTGGAGTGTTGGAACAGCAGCTCACAGCTAACTGTGTTCAGTTTTTTTTGGCCTGCGGTTTCAGAGCCCTGTGCAGGACCCCCCAGGAATTGGAAAGCCTTGGATGGGGCGAGTGCTTCCCAAAGGGTCCGGGACGCTGGAACGTTGGGATGTCCTGGAACTTGAATTTTTGCTCAAGAACATGCATCGGGAAGTATATTCTGACATTGTTTTTTTTGCCTTGCAGAGTGTGCCGTCTCACTTACCGGAGCTCTTATCGGTGCTTTGGATACCTTCTCGCTCCCAGACTCCGGATGGGGCAGCATGGCAGAGGATTGCTGCAACAGCGTGCTGCATGGGTTAGAGCCTGTGAGTGTCATTTCGATGGAAAAAAATGGCACGACACTCACGACATCAGAGATTTGCATGAGATTCGGCTTTTCAGTGTCAACGGAGATGGGTGCAACTCGGAGATCCCTCTGTTGCTTTCTTTGCGCTTACGGCTGTTCCCCGTGGCAGCTGTCGGCTCCATCTGGCTCCTAAGGCCTGGAGGAAATCCGACCTGCTGGGTCGAACCCTCAAGCGGTCCTCGAAAGCACCAAAAGCCAATCAAGCTGAGGTTAAATTTGATGCCGGGCCTACATGTTACACGCAAAATAGGACATAAAGTAAAAACGTGTTTGTTTCTAATGGCCTACTAGCTGTTTTCTAGCGATGGCCTCCAACCTACTAGCGATGGCTTCCAACCTACCATAGCGATGGCCTCCAACCTGCTAGGGATGGCCTCCAACGTAAGAGCTGCGCTGACCCCCCCAAAAGACATCCGTTCAAGTTACCCACACGCATTTCCACAAATCGGCATTTTGCTAGAGCGACTCTTGATGTCCAGAGCTGCCCAAGGATGGCCACTACACCTTTCAACGTTGCTGCCCTAACGAGGTTGGACAGCATGAGACACGATCCATTCGGCCTGCGGTCGAAGGGACTGTGTGGGTTCATGTGGCCCTTGGTGTCTTTTCTTCTTTGCCGCAGGTCTCCTGAACTATCCGAACTTTGCGTCCCCCCAAAACCGGTTCATATGCGGTCAATGTAGTCTGTAGCAGAAGTGTTCTGCTGGACAGGCGCAGAAGGCGGTGCCCCTGTCCGGTGCGGAAGCACTGAATGCCGCACCAAGGCCTTGGAGACACCACCCGATTGAGACAAACTGGGATTGATCTTGATTATATATTTCAGCAACAAGACATTCACATTTCCTGTAGCCCGGATCCCTTTACACTTCACAAATCAATTGGGGCTTTGTCGGGGCTTTAGCATTGCATAGTTGGAGTGTTTCAAAAGTTTCAATCAATTGAGTTGCTACCTGCTGTTGGGTTGCCAAGCTGGGTTAATATAAAGCAGATGTACACATAGACACGGCAATGAGTTGATTTGGAAAAATTCTGACTTTCCTGGTGTCCAGCAAGGCTGCTTTGCAGCGGGGAGCGCCTCCGCGGGGGCACTCGCTTTGTGAGGCATGAGCGAACAATCATATGGGGGTATGTATGAAGTCTGTGACGTAACTGCCATTTGCGATTTCCACCTTGGAACTGAAGCAGGCATGATGCCATGTTATTTCTTGAGCGCCCTCAGGCAAGCAAGTTTCGGCCAAGATCTCAGAATTGCCGGTCTTGGGCTGTTTTTATAAAGTAGTGAGAGATATGGAAGATAATCTATTTTTTTTGTGCTTTAGATCTCTACGTAGGCCCGTCCTTTTTCTGTCCTCTTCTAGTAGGGTGGAAGCCATCGCTAGTATTTTGGAGGCCATCGCGAGTAGGTTGGAGGCCATCGCCCTTAGGTTGGAGGCCATCGCTTCTAGGTTGGAGGCAATCTCTATTAGGTTGGAAGCCATCTCTATTAATTAGGTTGGAAGCCACCCCTAGTAAGGTTGGAGGCCATCGCTAGTAGGGTGGAGGCCATTGCTATTATATAGGTTCCTCAAAGTCATTTTCTTATGTTTTCTTTAGTGAACTGCGAGAGTCTCAATGGAACTGTCTTCATGCTTACTTGTTTGCACCGGTCGCTCCAAGATGGCGAGCGGATGTGGCATCCCTCCCAGTCATTTGTCACAAGCTCAGTGTGAAAGAATGAACGTGGAAAGGTGGAAGGGATGTGGGATCTATTGTGATCTAGGTATTTTGTTCTGTTTGATAGATCAAGGGGTTGCTGCACTGACATGCCGGCATATGCCTTAAGGACACAACCTTTGACTTCGCCGACCAGGCTCAATTAAGAGTGGGGCTACTACAAAACACATTCCAACTGAAATGATTGGCTGTGTGAGTTTCCTTGGTTAACCTCGCTGAGATCGTTCTTCCAAAGGTGCAAGCTTGAAGGCCATGGGTTAATTTCTAGGGTCTAAGAGTCTAGAGTGCTCGAGCCTCTTCAAATCACTTCTGGCAGATCATTTCCGGCTCGCTAGGCGGAGTCGGGGAAGTTGGTGCAAGTGGCACGCTCGTCAGTCTGCAGCATTCGAAGCATAGATGGTAGATGATGGTAGTCATAAAAAAGTTGTATACACCTATAGGTACACATGTTATTGGCTTGAATTTGTCCGGTTCAGATGCACTGGAGACAAACCTGTAATACTTCAAAACATGGTTGCTTGTGGAAGTGTGGTCCAGGCCACTGGCTTGCCTCGCTGTGGCGGCCCGCGCCCAAGCTACGAGCTGGGGATGAAAGCATTTTAAGAGCGATGGCCTCCAACCTATAGCTGAAATATGCACAGTGGGAGAATTGCATGAACCTGATTGAAGTGGCACCGCGAAAAGCCTGGAAACATGTGTCAGGCCCTGATATTTTCGAGGACGGAAGGAGATGTGCATAGGGAATGTGAGTGAAAGGCATTTCAGGCTTCAAAAGGGAATTTGACATGTTCAATGTTGGACCAAGTTAGCTCTCATGGGCTACTGAAGCAGTTCGAGCCAGACTGCCATACCTGCAGGAAGCTGGATCTATTCTTGAGGTCATTGAGTATGGGACCCAGACTTGGTTTGCAAGAAGTTGCCAAATTGTCAAAATATTTTTGCAACCAAAAGAGGTCCAACGCGTGCGGTGGAAAGCTCCAGCTTGGGGAGGGAACGAAATCCTCAGAGTTTGGCCCCAAGCAGCGCCCGACACGGGGACCCCTATGCAACGCACAATGAAGACCCCCGCAGCGTCCACATGCAGTATTGTAGCTTGATCATGCTGGATTCATTTTCTGAACAATGCTGGGAAAGCGCTGGCGGCCCCCCAAGGCAACACCACATGAGCATCCTCAAAGACTTGCACGAGGCATTGTGTGAAGCTGATTGGCTTGAGCTGCACTTGCGCTCTTGTCGACGGTTAGTACCACCAGTGCCAGGCGATGATGAAACTGTCAGCGCGCGTTCGCCTCAGAAGAACCCTCATCATCCATCATCATCCTACAAAAGTGCCAGTGGGGCCGGCTGGGTTGGAGTCTGAAAGAGCCGACCCAAAGCGAGCAGAGGCTCTGAGGTATCAGGAAAACTGACGAGCCGACCCAACGGTGCGTCCTCGAAAGGCCCGACGAGAGGTGGCGTGCCATCGGTGTGCTGGCCTTGGTCCGGGGAGCGAGAGCAAACGACTAAAAGTAGACGTTTCCTTCCTGTTTTCTTTTCTTTGCTTCCAATAGCGATGGCCTTCAAAATACTGGCGATGGCCTCCAACCTACTAGCGATAGCGATGGCCTCCAACCTACTACTAGCGATGGCGATGGCCTCCAACCTACGACTATTATCGCTGGCCTACCTACTACTAGCGATGGCCTCCAACCTACTAGCGGTGGTTGTTTATCTTGGAAGGAATATATTCAACAGCTTCTACTGCACAGCCTAAAGTGGGCCATGCCACTACCAGACATGGAAACGTCCCGCTATTCAACACCTTTTCGTTTAGAAGACTCAGCCTTGGTCCTTTTCACCTCCGTGGTGGGACGTCATGATTGGCACTTGGATAGCTGTGCACTGTGGGTCCTAGGACCTACCTGCCCTTCTTCCCCTACCTCTTGATGGCGCTTCACCGCCGCCGGGACGCTTTGATGTTTTGTGTCATGTCCGGATGGGAACTGGCCGGCCTTGCATGCTGGCTCAGGCACTGGGAGGATCGAGTTTTTGAACTGCATCGCTCAAACTGCTGCAGTGTTGGTGCGCAGAAGTGGTGGGAGGTGGTTCGATGTTCTGGAGTTCCAATAGCCATGGCCTCCAACCGAATTACTAGTTCGATGGTCTGGAGTTCCATGGGATGCTCATTTGTGCTGTGCTGTCGAGTTCT